ATAATAAAGTCTTAAAGTTAATTTGTTCAACAAAACAAACTTTTTGAAATCCAAACAACTTCAATAATCTTCATAACATATTCAACTTGCCCTATGTTCAAACATAAATGAACGAGCATAAACGAACATATAATCGAACGTTCACGAACGTAAAAGAACGAACAAACCATTTGTTCCTGTTCGTTCATTTAATTAAACGAATGCAAAATCTTATTCATGCTCGTTCATTTAATAAATAAACGAACATAAACAAACTTCTTGCCGCACGGTTCATGAACGGTTCACTGAATGTTCAGTTCATTTACAGGCCTAATACCATCCACTTAGCTTCGACATGACTTGAATTTTAGAGTATAAATCTGACCCGATCTAAAATAGAGACTTAATTAAATTAATAATAATTTTTAAGGAAATTATATTAACTTCTCCGGATTGGGTCAGGTCAGAGTTTTTTCACCTTCCATTCGAACTCGACTCGACCTCACTCCCTTAAAAAATATGACCTGATCTGAACTTAAATTTTTTTTAGAAAAATCTGACATTCGAATAAGATCATATCTAAATTCATCAATTTCGAATTAAATTATCATCCCTAGTTAGAACCCAACAATGAATATATTGTTTATCCATACTCTTCAAAAGTGTCCATAATCATCACTAAAAGAAATATGCTTATCACATACTTTTTTAACTTTTTTATGTTAATGCTACCTTTCCCAATTCAAGTCCACCTCTAGGACTTATTTATACAATCAAATTAATCTCAACAAGTTATTTGATAACCATCTAGACAAATAGATAACAATAACACTTAGTGACGTCAAGTAATTATACAAAAGTAATTATACAATAAATAACGACAATGATGATGATACATGATGTCACAAAACAATCATATAGTGAATCATAATCATATTTAGTGTCACTTAACAATTAAATAGTTTAATGAAGGCGATATATGATATCACTTAAAAAAATTCAAGAGATACGAAAATAGATTTTCAATAGAAAATACATTGAAAAATCTAAAATGTATGATAATTTTAGATTTTTAGGGGGTGATCGCCCCACCTACCCTCACTTAGGTCCATCTTTGTAACACCTTAAACCAGTAAGACACACAGTCGACCGATCAAAATGACGCATGGAACCACCGGAGTGGCTAACCAAAATTTTCTTTTAAATTTTTCCTTTATTTAAAAATGAACATTTGTAACCACTCATGCTAAAATAAATCAACTACAATTTAAATAAAATAATTTACATTAGGAGCTCCCAAAATAATATTTAAATCATACATATCATAGTTTAAAATGAGTTACGACTTAAACAAAAATATACAAATCAGGGTTTACAATTATACATGTCATCTAAAGATGAACTCGAGACGTACTCTGCAATATTTGTGTCTGGATCACTACTGTCAAAAAGTCCTCAGACTGCTTCTCGACTAACCTGCGTAAGGAAACAAATTCCAAATGCTCAGCTAACTAGCCCAATGCCACACTAAAAACTAAGACATACTAAAAGTGTTCATGTCATGCTCAAGTTATCTGATAATTGCAATAGTGAGTATACTCGTATACTGCACTCTCTACTCTATGGTAGACATCATGGTGCTGTTGAGGGTCTGCATCTCGAAGCTCACACACAAGCCATACTAAAAGTGTTCATGTCATGCTCAAGTTATCTGATAATTGCAATAGTGAGTATACTCGTATACTGCACTCTCTACTCTATGGTAGACATCATGGTGCTGTTGAGGGTCTGCATCTCGAAGCTCACACACCCTTTTAGTCTACCAAGATTGGTTGCCCGGAATCTCTGCATCGGTTAACCCCCTCGATTAGCCTACTCATTTGAGTGTCAGGCCTTGCGCCCAAGCTAATTAGCTTTAAGTGTCTCGCGCACTACAATATATACGGATTAAATCTATACTTTTGATAATGCTAGCATTTTCTAGAGGAACTCAAGTGTCCTAATCGTTTCTCGAGCATCATCCAAGGCTATTTTTATGTCATCCTAAGTGATCTTGTTTCTAAGTGTAATATTATTGTCATTAATATTCTCACTTGTAGTCTTATTTGATGATATAATGAAGTGTTGGGGTACCTTGAGTCTAATTCCCTTAAAAATTGACATTTTTACCCAAAATAGACTGAAAGCATTGATATTAGCCCAAGAGTATCGATACTCCTGAAAGAGTTTCGATACATTATATAAATATCGATACTTTTAAACATTCTATTCTGCTCAGTTTTGAAACTCTATGGAAGTTTCAAAACTATGACTCAAAGTTTTGATACTCTTGAAAGAGTATCGATACTCTTGCCTAGAAACTCACGAATTTGCCCAAAATGAAGAACAAGTATCGATACTATCCCTATAGTATTGATACTTTACTTGCAAAAGTCATAAAACACGTACTAAAATGCTATATATCAATCCCAAAGACCCTGTGAGGTCCCCCAAACATGCTTAAAGTTTTATTGATCAACAAGGGTCATAATAGAGGCTTTAAGAACATTTAATACTCAACAACAAGAATTTCACCATGAAAATGCTTATCATGCTCAACTCAAACATTTAAACTATCTTAAACTTCTAATGACTCAATAAGAGTATAGAAGAGTTGTAAAGGTGTTGCTTGCTCCTTGGATGGCTAGAAACTTTCTCAACTCACTCAAGATTCAACTTTTATTTTCCTTTAGCTCTTGAGCTTTCTCCTATCTCCTTTACTAAATAAAATGAAAAAAATGGATTACCAATCCATCTAGGGGTTGAATAACATCTAAACCAACTCCCTATAACTCAAAACTTAGCTAGAATCCATAAATTCCCACAAATCTCTCAAGATCCATTTTTTGGTTATATGCATAAAACTAATAAAATTGAGCTTATATTGAAGCTTGAAGAATAAGGAATTGAAATCTTACCTTGGATTCACTCAACTAAGTTTGGATTTCTCTAAATTCCTCACATTAGGAAAGAATGAAGGAGAGAAAGAAGAGAAGGTAGGAAGAGTATTTGGTGAGCTTGTAAGGAGGTTAGTTCACGTAAAAATCATATATTACGAAGGGGTTTTCCAGCTTTCAAAATAACTATGGGTAAACTACACTTTTAGTCCCTTTACTTTTATTTCACAATTTTCTCATCCCCAACCAACAACTCTCTTGGGACCTAACTCAAGCCCAAAATAGCAAATTTGGTCCAACTATAATATAAGGTCCAAATGCTCAACTTTGTGTTTCGGGTTGACCCGAACTACTAATCTGGGATTTGGGGCATTACAATCTCTGTTTGGTGTCACTGAGCAATTAGTTTGCACAAGACACAAATATCTAGATAATTTATTGCCATTCTCGCTCGCATACATGCAGAGGTGCGCATAGATCATACGTATCAATATTTTTTTTTTCTTTAAGATCAATCGATGTAGCTTAGCTACATAATAACAACATTTGTTTAACAATAAGGCATAAGCCTTTCCTCACAAGCTACAATACCATTATTCTCAATCGTGGTTTATTCTTTCTTAGAGCATTGTGTTTAAGGGTATACATTTTTTATTATATTATGATCTTTAATTAGATTTATTGAGTGATTGTTTAATTTGTGAAAAATTATCATTATTTCTCTTTTATACGAGGACAAATATATTGTTTACCACTTAAGGTATTTTAGTCATGTTGGCCTTCAAGGCATTTTCATTAAAATCAATCAGTTAGGGTTTTCAAATCCCATTAACGATATTTCACTCTTTTTTTTAACACTCAAATCATTTATATAACTCCCTTTCATCAATTTAGAAGTTAATTTAAGCTTTAATTATGATTTAGTATCGATTCATGTTAAAACATACTTTGATATATTAAAATTAATTAATTCTTAAAGAAATTTTAAGATTATATTCGATTCAGATATTCGAACACAAAAATATTTTTTAAGAGTCAAAAACTCCATTTTAATAGTCATTTTCTTGAAAAATTAAGTCAAATACTGGAAATAATTTTGAAACAATTTTTTCTACGGGTTGCTGACTTTAATCGAGTCAAAAATTATTTTTAAGCCCAACAATACTGATACTGCAAGAACAATACCAGTATTGTTCATGTGGTATCGATGCAGTATTGATGCCAATCCTCTAAAAAACACAATAGTACCGATATTGCTCCAAACATGGACGGAGCCAGGATTCCAACTTAGGGAGCAAAGTGTAATTAATCATAAAAATGGGGGACAAAAGTATAATTAACCGTATAAAATGAAGGGGCAAAATCAAAATAAACTAAAATTTGGAACCCTAATTTAATATTTCTATATTTTTTTAATAATAAAAAAATTGGGACAGTGGCCCCCGAGACAAAGGGTAGTTCTGTCCCTGGCTCCAAACAGTACCAATACTCCTTTTATTTTGCAAATTTTAGTATATAAAATTGGTATCGAAACTACTATAGTATCAATGCTACTTATAACAGGAGTATTGATACTCCAAATGGTATTATCGATACTAACCTTATGTTTTTTAGAATGTAAAATTCTAGTAAGCATTATTGGTATTAATACTCATATGGTATTTATACTATTTATAATAGTACTACCGATACTCCCTTTTCCCAACGGCTATATTTTTGTAATTAATGTAGGTAGTATTGATACTCCAAGTATGAGTACCAATACTCAAGGCGTTTGAACATCGTTTATTGTGGGGAACTTCATTCTAACGGCTCTATTAACTTTCATAATTACCCAAATGGTTAAAATTGAATGAAGAGCTTTAAAAACAAGATTCCACGTAAGACAATATATCACAAAGAAAGCCTAAGCAACCAATCATAGCCAAATTCAAGTCAATATTCTTTATGCTTTCAAAAAAAAAACTTTTTTACTAAATTTGTATTCATTTCTAAAGTGTTCTTATTTGTTCTAGAATTGTGTAAACATATTCCTAGTGAGATTTTTATAAATTTGCAATTTGTAATTTTTTTCTTTGAGAGAGTATATCAAGAATGTGTAGTATAATTCTTGAGTGAGTTGTAATGTTACACCTTATTCTCAAAAGTTGTTACAAATTAGTGAATTTGTGAAAATCCTTAGTGTGGATAGCTAAGGTAGTGAATGTAGACTTTGGTTTAGAAAGTCGAATCATTCTAAATTCTTGTGTTCAATCTTTTCAATTTTTCTTTAAGCTTCCACCAAAATTGTATTTGTCAATTCAACTCGTCTTAGCTATTTATTCATTCGATTGATTCAACAATACAAAATAAGGGATACCAATAATCGACTAGCCTTTATATAATAGAAAGAGAATGAACCAAAAGGTTAATACCACTTGATGAAGAGACTTGATATTTATTAAAGAGAATTATTAAAAAAATAGAAAAAATTGGATTGATGCAATTTTAAATAAAAAATTAATAAGTCTATTCAATAACTGACATTACTAATTAGTAGTATGTCTATTCACCAAGTATCATAACTTATTATTGGCATCAATATCGTTCAATTAAATTATTATTTTTTAATATTATATGGATTTTTTGAATTGGTTTTTTGACTGTCTTTACTTTAGTTAATAAAGTGAAAAATAAAACAATTGAAAATTAAAGAGAGAAAATACATTTTTTAATAGTATGTTTAGCAAGAATGATGAAAAAATAATATTTAAATACTTTAAATTATTTTACGATGAATATTTGTAATTTTATATTCATAATGCTCAAAATTCGAGATTTTAAAGATATCAACACTACGACATTACATCACACTTCATTTGGTTAAAGAATTTTTATTTTGACAAAAACATATTATAATTTATTTACATAATTTTAATATTTTTATACTTAAAATCTGAATTGTTTGAAAAGAAAAAATCACGTCCCTACAAATAGATTAGATTTGCTTTTTTCGCACACTCAGGGCAGCAGCCAGCTTTCATACTACTATATCTGTAGTCTCAACTCTTGAATTGCCACGCACAAAAGAGAGAAGCTTCATTCTTTTCTCTGTAATTTATCATCCATGGAGGTCGGTAAAGAAGCTGAACAAAACACTAACACCGTGAGAAAAGCTCTGCTAATAATAAACTGCATCATCCTTGCTATAGGCAACTGTGCTGGTCCACTTATGATGCGCCTCTACTTCATTCATGGCGGCAAACGAGTCTGGTTCTGCAGCTTTCTCGAGACCGTTGCTTGGCCTATCATCCTTTTACCCATCGTTTGTGCTTACTTTAATCGTTCCAGGACCCAACCCACTTCGCAAAACAAGCTTTTCTTCATGAAACCATACTTGTTCCTCGCCGCCGCCTTCATCGGAATCCTCACCGGCCTTGACGACTACCTTTACGCCTACGGCGTCGCTCGCCTTCCCGTCTCGACTTCATCTCTAATCATCGCCTCGCAGTTGGCTTTCACTGCGGGGTTTGCTCTTGTTCTGGTGAAGCAAAAGTTCACTTCTTATTCCATAAACGCCGTGTTTTTGTTGACGATCGGAGCCGGCGTCTTGGCCATGCACACGAGCGGCGAACACCCCGCGACCGAATCGAACAGGGAATACGTTGCGGGATTTCTGATGACCCTCGCGGCAGCTGCTTTGTATGGCTTTCTCCTGCCTCTGATGGAGCTCACTTACAAGAAATCCAAGCAAGAAATCAGCTACGCTCTTGTGATGGAGATTCAGATGGTAATGTGCTTCTTTGCTACTGGCGTTTGCACCATTGGCATGCTGGTTAACAACGATTTTAAGGTCACTTTTCTTCTTTGATTACCTCTTATCAAGTTTACGTACCATACAATCTTTTAAGTTCGCCTCTTTAACATAAAATTATGCATATGGATAAGTAATTAAGGATTAATTAACACTTCCTTTTGTAGGCAATTCCAAGGGAAGCAAGAGAATACGCACTCGGGGAAACAAATTATTACGTAATAGCGATTTGTAGCGCAATAATATGGCAGTGTTTCTTCCTGGGAGCAATAGGAGTAATCTTCTGTGCATCGTCCTTGTTATCGGGCGTTATAATGGCTGTCTTATTGCCCGTAACCGAGATTTTAGCTGTCATTTTCTACCACGAAAGTTTCCATGCCGAGAAGGGAGTGGCGCTTGCACTCTCACTTTGGGGCTTCCTTTCTTATTTCTACGGCGAGATTAAGGACTCCAAGAAAAACATACCGGTCCTTCAATCGGAGATGACCTCAGTCTCTGATGGACAGCAAAGTGTGTGAAACACCGGCGATGATCCGATGTCCGACCGAGCATCTACGAGTTCCAGGCGAAAAAGTTTGATGGAATTTTGCTCGATAGATTTATGAGAGAAGAAGTTTATCATACTTAAATTCTAAGTTACCTTTCGATGTTGATGTAAGACTATAAGTGGTATGCTTTCAGTTCCATAACAATGGCAACTATTAATACAATGCATTCCCGAATTTTCTGCTACATCTTTAAAATTAAAAAAAAATTAAATTATATATATATATACTTTGAAAATTTCATGCTTTGTTTAAACCTTATGTAATGAAAAGAGACCTAAAAATAGACGAGAAGCAGCTACATTTCATGCTTTGCTCTAGGTATTAGCTTTTAGATACCAACAAATTGTTACATTGATCGATTATGCAGGTTAATATGTCCTCATTGAGATATATACTATATAGTATTATTAGTAGTGAATTTAATCTACATTTACACAATTTTAATTAATATTCAACTAATAATTATACAGTCATACACAATCCAGGACATCAAATCTCGAAAACAGAGTTGATGGTTTTGTTTTTACCTTTCCTTTTACATATCATTTCATTACAATCTTTGAATCGGATTCTATAGTGAAGGCTCTTGGTTCCGCCCTTTTTCTTTCATAGGCACCACAATTTCCTGAAACTCCTTCACCGTTGAAACCTTTCAGTGTTTTATCCATCATATCTTATGAGTTTCTCTTCTTCAAAATATTCTTACTCGATGTTAAATCGGCCCCACAAATAAGAACTATCGGTTTCAGGATAATTTTTCCTAGTCTGACATCTCATTTGTCATTGAAAGAAGTAACATTTGGTACAAAAGAACGTGTTGGAACTTATAAATTGATGATGTGATAGCCTGTGATTCTTTCACAAGTTGTAAACATATGCATTATGAACTTGATTTAAATGATAAAAAGTTTTGCACGAACTAATTTATTTTAGTGATTAAACGAATCGTTATTCTTCATAAAAATTATTAATTAATTATTTACATTAATTATTTTTGCCACATCATTTATAAGAATATCAATTAATTAAAACGGTGCTAAAAACATTCTGCAGCATTTGTAGACTTTCTTTTTGTCAATATCATTTGCCTTTGTAATAAATATTTTCTTTAAAAAAAATCTCATAGCTAGTAAATGCATTTTCTAAATCGGAAAAGATAGAATTGTTATGGCCATGCTTAATATAAAAATAATTGACTAAATTATATTTAAAATTGAATTTAGTGTTTTAAGAATTTTTCGTTTAATATATGTGTCTAATGTTTTAACATGCTTACAGTTAAAAAATATATTTGACATGTGTCGTGTTCAGATTTTTTTAAAAAGATATTTGTAAATAATATTTTATTTTAAAAATAAAAAATATAAACATGACACTTGTCATTTAATGATTCTTTTTATCGATAGGTATCTAAAAGTATAATACAAAAAGCATTAGGAACATATATTTAATAAGAAATTCTTCCGATACCAAAAAGTCAATTTTAGATATAATTTAGGCAATTATTTACGTATCAAGCCTAAAGGCAAAGGATACTGGCTATTGAGAAAGGAAAGTTTATAAATGTAACAGATTTTCTTATTCCAACATTTTAATTAACTGATATCACTGTGTGTAAATGATATAGAAAAAGATTAATGAGTATATTTGTAATTGGTTAAGACCATTGATAACATAGTGAAAAAGATTCATGAAATAACTTATCGTCAACATGAGTTATTAAACATGAATTTTATATCTATCTTTTGTTTAAATTTTTTTAGACGAATTATATACATTATCCTTGTATGACATCAAGTGGTTAATTTTTTTTTGGTATCAATAGTTATAAAAAGTATCATAATTATATTTTTAATTTACAATTATAATTATAATTTTTTTTGTAATTTTGGGTATTTCCTTACAATAAAGTTAGTGAATATATAGAAAAAATGCAATCAAAAGCAAATAGAGTTTGACCATCCTATAATTAGGTACATAATTATTTCCCGGTGGGTAGAAGAAATGGAGAAAGAGGAAAATGAATGGTCGGGGTCAAGTACAGCTTATACAAGTTTTAATCCCTCAACATACCTTTCCACTTATTGTTGCAAAGCAAGTTCTGTACAACAAATAGCATGTCCAAAAATAGTTTCATGTCCCTGCTGTTAAATGGTAACCACATGACATGGAGATAACTGAACCCTCAATCCACAGATTCCCCCTACAATTGAGGCAAACTTCATTTCCTATATCATCCTCGAGTCGGTTTAGTCAAAAGTCTTTTTCAGGAAGAGCAGGATTAGCAAGAGTAGAGCCAGTTCGATCAACTTGGGACCCCTCACATGCTCAACGATTGTCTCCCACCTGTAAGTTCAACCAGGAGATAGCGGCGGATAAAGCCTGTTTTCCATTTCAGGGTCTTCATTACAATAAGAACAGTTACTCAAGGACCCAATATTACCCAGCAAAAGTTCAAGCTACCCATGCATGCTACAGAAATTGCTAATCTATTTAATTCAAACCAACAGTTTTGAAGTCCAAACTAAAGCTAATCTAAAATCTACATACACAACGAGATGAAACCATATTCTATAAAAATGTGTAAATCAGGAAAATGATGACACTTAATAATAATATCAGCTACCACCTAACGCACATGTTGATCCAAAACAGCTTAGATCATGGAAATAAATGTACTATGCCTAAACACGTATGTCACCACCTGAACGTGTCGAATTAATGATCTAAATGGGTTATGTAAGAATCAGAATTATCAGATAACAAACGTTTATTGTAATGTATACTTACCAATTACCTTCAACAGTGCTATCATTTTCATTATCAAATTCCTCCTTCGCAAATTCTTCTAGAATAGCACGTTGCCGGTCATTTATCGCACTGAAGAGGGCGTATGGGAAAAGAAGAATGTGACAGAACAACGATTAGGAAATAAGTTTTTTAAGAGAATCTAAACTGCAAAGAATTCGGGCTTCACAAGTAATAATCATGTTATGTTCATTCCAACGTTTTCAGATCAGCACATTCCTATAAAGTTCTAATCTAATGGCTGATAAAAGGAATTGCACACGTTGTTATGTAGCTTAACCATTAGATTAAAAAAATTCCTTGCCTTGCCCTTACTTCCTTTCCTACGAACAGCCATATTTTTACAAGCACAAGTAATAAAGGGCTGCTAATTCGAACTTTGATTCTTCCAGCTAGCAAAGTTTGATTCTGGGTTATTATACCGAGCAATCATGAAAACCATTTAAGGATCAATTAGCATTTTATCGAAAAAGTTGCTAGTTATGACTTGTAATCTGGCAATAATACACCTTACTGTCACTAAAATAACAGGTAACCTTGAGGCTAAGTAATTTTACTTGATAACCATGATGAAAATTTCCAATTCCACGAGGCAGAAATACCCAATATCAGCAGTGTTGAAAATCAATACAATTGAGCATTTTGTCACGGTTGTGAGAGAAGAAGGAATCTCGAAGCAAAGGAATTGGGCGAATTGGAGGAAAAAGGGTTAGGGATTGAAGTGACTGAATTTAATCGGTAGCTTTTGCCTCTTGTTCTCAAATTCCATTGAGACTTCATACAGTTTCGCTTGTCTACAGGCTTCAGTAACACTATTGGGTGCAAGAACTTTAACTCTGTTTCAACTCATCTTTCAACCCACTGATAAATATGGACACAAAGAACTCCTCACCTAATGTAGGATTCTGTATCATATAGGGCTTTAGTTCTTCGAACCATTCTTGATACTCTTTAACCGATCCTTTCTGCATCAGCTTGCTAAACTCTTCGATTACGTCTGGGTAGGTACGGTCGTTAAAGAGGTGACAGATATCAGCTTTAAATTCTTGCCAATGGACTCGGGGCTTCTGCATTGTATACCCAGCAAACCACGTCTCCGCTTTTTTGGCCGTCAAGTGCATTGCTGCCATTTCTACTCTTTGTTCATCTGGAACACCAGAGTTGATTTTTTTTTTGGCATTTTCGTACCCAACCTCGTGGATTTGTGACATCAAAAGTTTGTAGCTCCAGCTTGGGTCTGAGTAGTATGGACCTTGCTCCCAAAGGACCATCCTTGCCCTTTCTTTTCTTCAAAAAACTCCTGCTGACTCGCCTTGACTCCACTACTGTCGCCCATCTGTCGGTTTGATTGGAACTCCACTGGTTTGGTCTTGAGGATACCAGTCTCCTCCAGATTGTAAGAAAACCGAGACTTATCCTTAATCACCGTGACCTCTACTGGTTTCTTCCCATCTGTCTTGGTGGGAGTTTCCCCTTCCGATTGTTCTTGCTCCCCATCTCTACCAGTTAAAATCCGTAAAATTTATTCCGGTTGGTTGCCATCCGCTTTTCCAAACTAGTCAGGCGGCTTTCTTGCTTTTCCCACCATTTCGGAGGCTCGGATTCATCGGGTGCTTATTCCACCTTATTTTTTAGTTCTTCCGGTTGTTGTTGAATGGTAGCAAGGTCTGTGCAGGGTCGGCCATGGTTTGGTTCTTTTTCTGTTTTCCCAGTTAGAAGAAATTGCCATGATGTGTGGCTCTGATGCCAAAACTGTTATGAACTCAAGAGAGAAATGAAGAATTTTTCGAGGGAAATGATGAGAAAAGAGGAAGAAAGGTTTTAGGCAAGAAGTTTTCATGCAATAATCACATAATTTTCCCCTGAGCAGTACACGGTTTTATTTCTTTAATTTACCAATTTCACCAAATGCCTACAGCTGGCTGTCCTTTCTAACGGTTGAAAAAACAATGTGCTTGCAAAAAGTAATCATCCATTCTGGGCTTCAATTTGTAGCAGGCCCACTTCTAAGCTCATCAAGCAGATATTACCCTTGGCCTCTTTCATGAACCCGTGCTCTTCACTTGTGTTCTTCACGTGCTCTTACTTCTCCCTTTTCATTCCTATCAATCGTGATTTCCCCCAATTCAGTCACTCCAATCCCTAACCCTTTTTCCTCCAATTCCTTTGCTTCGAGATTTCCTCCTTCTCTCACAACCGTTACACATTTTCAAGGCAACATGGTTCCTTTAACACAACTCGACTCCAATATCCTCCATCGCTTTCAGTTTCTATTTTGATGAACTAGTACTGTGAACTAAGATGTCTTGGCAGATATCAATTTCGCATTTAAGGAAAGAGAGTAAAAACAACTGAATTTTGCACTCACTATCACTACGGCCCAAATTTGAGGAAGAACTCCTCTTAATAAGCATCAGCAATAATTTTTCTAATGGCCAGAAGCATTAATAAGCTCAACTATGCCTCGGTGAAATGGAAAGACAACTACGTATACTTCAAACAAATGTAACATCTGTCGAAATATATACTGACATCCAATAGGTTATGGGATAATTTTTAAGTTAATTAGATAGATAATATCAGGAATTGATATTTTTTAGGAAGATGTTCATGTTTTAGTAGTTTACTAGAATAAGTGACCTAGTTTCCTGGTTTATGATTTTTTTTAATTAAAACTCCTTGGTTTCTAAAGTAATAAAATAAAGCTTTTACAGTCTACTGTCTCTAAAACTTTCGACATCTTTGGTACAATGCTATCCTGAACATACCTATATATGTTAACATCATCAGTGATAAATTTAGAAACACCCAACCAATAACATAAGTAGGAAAAAGCTAAAGGAAGCTTACGTTGGCAGATTAACGCGGAAGCGGACATACTGATCTCCATGATATACTAGAAAACCATGCTTTGGCAATCCTACAGGGACTCACAAAGAAAGCGCATTTGTAGCAGGAATGGCACAATAAAATATGTTCAAGCAACATAAAGAAATAGAGAGAGGTGATACAGTAGGGGAATGATTACTGATTAGACATACCTTTGCCTCTTAGAACAAGAAGTTCTCCATGTTGGCATCCTTTAGGTACCTGAGAACGCCATAATTTCAAAGCACAAAATGGTTAATGCCGAATACAATGATACATGTAGATTGTTAAAAGTTAAAAAATGAAAAATGAATCTCTATATGGTGGACCAAAAAGAAAAGGTCAGATTATCTTATATCAAATGACAAATTCAAGTCAGGTTTTACACATTAACAGGCCCAACTCATTACAAGACTGAGGCTCATGTCCAATGACATTCAAAGATTTAGTACTTACATTTGCATAACTAGACAACCTCCTCTAATAAAGAAAGATTTACACACTTTTTTTTTTTTGCCTTTCAGTAACTCTCACCAATGTGCAATGCACAAACAAATAAAAGAGTTGCATAAAACCAAGAGAATTACTTTCACTTGAACCTTCCCTGACAATGTAGGCACCTCAACTTCACCACCAAGAATTGCCTGTAAGAGATCCAAACATTCATTACAGATAGAAATATTTGGATTCTGTTTGCTAATCTATAAAATTATTTGGCAACGAAAAGTTATATTCAAAAGGAAGCATGCTTGGACACTCAGAAATCAACAAAGATGTCTCCACTGAAAGGAATAATATACAGTAAAAGCCAAAGAAATGACCAGGGTGAGACAAATGGCATCATGAAACAAAGAACAAATAGAAGTGAAGAGAAAAATAAGATTCCAACATCAAATGTTTTGAATGTGGGTGAAATATCAGATCTGGTCTAACTATATGGAACATAGTCAAGTGCAGTAATTATTTTGCATAGCCCAGATTCTTACCTGAGTAAGGCTAATATTAGAATTGACATAAACATCTGCACCATCTCTAGCAAAGACAGGATCATCTGCAACCTAGATTATAAAAGCAAAGTTCAGAAGCAAGGATGATATATAACTCGACCATCAAATAGTAATTAGTTATTTACTTCTCTGCTACCCAATTTGACAACCTCAAACCAAGTTTCAAAACTGATCATATTCTAGTTTCATGAAAAGGTATAATGTATCCCAGCTCAAAGAAAAAGTAGAGCCACAAAACTGATAAGCAGAAATTTTCAAATGCAGAAATGAATCTACAATTGCACATAACCTACTTTCAGTAGCGAGTTTCTTAAAGATACAAGGCAATAGAAGGAACTGCACCTTTATCCTAATAAACAAGTTACCAGGTTGACTTCCCTGTCGCTTAATATTACCAGCTTCTGGTATACGTATTGTATCTCCAGAATCCACACCTAATCATTTTATAGAAAAATACAAAGGAGTCAATAAAATTAATGCCGCAATCTTAAGCTATATATTCTTTGTGACAGTCAAGTAGCCACCTATGCAGACAAAGGTTCCGTCCTAGAACTAGTTTGATATTTCATGCATCCATGAAAAATGCAGAAACTAAAAGTAATACTTTCATAAAAATGGGTAAATTACCTAAAACTGTATTACTAACGAAGCATTGCATTAAAAAAATTAGGAAAAAGAAACTGGGAAAATAAAAAAAATTGAAAAAAGAGAGAAATAACACTATAAGATCTGAAAAACCAACCATAGGAGGGGAGAGAAAAAAAGAGCTACGAATTTGATCTCAAAGCTATATGCTAAACCATATGAGGAATTCCTGTGAAACCCTTTCTTTATATGAACTGCTAAGAATCAAAGCTACCTCTCAAATATTCTGAACTTCAAAAAGCTTTTTGTCAAAGAAAAACAGCTAATATCTACCTGCAGGTATTGTAACTTTAACTTCCTTAACACCTTCAACAACCCCTGATCCTTGGCATGCCATACAGTATTCCTGAATCATATATGTAAAACCATGTTAATTGTTAATATGATATACAAGTAAAAGAAAAGTGTGGTTTTGCTGAAAATGAAACTGGACCTTGGTTATTTGTCCCAATCCTTTACAAGTGTTGCATGTTGATGTAAAAGGAGGAATTGTAACCTTGTTAAGAGTTAAAGAGTCAATACAATATAGTAAATAAAAGGTAACATGTATTCTCTTCAAAAAGTGAACCCGTTTGGGAGGATTTATAAACTCACAGTCCCTTTGCCTCTGCAAATTGGACAAACTTTAACTTTGGCATTTGGTGGATAGCCACACCCATCTGCATTAAGAAATAAACAAGGCATGAGAAAACTACATCTATAAAAACCGGAGGAATAAATCCTTCACAAAAATGGAAAGATTAGAGAAATACATTTAACATAATGCTGTAAAATATTAGCAGAAAAAATACAGAACAATTTTGGACAAACATAAATTAAGAAGTAGAAGGCCATTAACACATGTACTTTACTATATTTGTGCTTGTAAGATTCTTGAATGTGTCATAATTCAAGCAATCTTTTTACTCTACTTACCACAAGAATCACAAGGAACAAATGCATCAAAACATAGATCCTTTGTGCATCCTTTAGCAGCTTCAGAAAAAGAGAGCAAGAGCTCTGTCTAAAAAATTCCAGACAGAACATATTATAACTTGAAGAAGTAAAGTATGAAACTAATAGAAAATTCAGGAGAGAAAATGTGTTGACCTGAATATCTGGTGAAGTCTGATCCATCTCATCTTCAAATATCTGCAGCAGATGAATTTACAGCATTTTAATCTTTAAAAAAATTGCAGTATTTTAGAAATCATGGCAAATAATTTCATGAACACGAGAACAAAAAAAGTAAAAATACCTCAGAAAATATCTTGGAAAATGAATCAGAGAAGTTTCCCCGACGAGTATATCTAAACCCTTGTGAACCACTTGTATTATAGAATCTAAACCCTTCAGCACCATCTGCCCCAAATTCCATGTCTTCTGAACTTCTAGCATAAGTCTTCCTCAGAAAGGTTCAGAGTACTACAATTAGTTTAGAAAACATTGAATTGCAGACAATTCAAAAAGTCCCATCCGAGTAAGACTTGATGGCAACATTTTCCTGAGTACCAATATTAACAAACTGTACCAGAGCAGCACTTCTCTAGGAGGAGCATAAAGGGGCAACAATGACAACAAACAGAAAAAAAGGGGGTGGTATATTTTACCCTATCATATTCTCGCCTCTTTTCTGAATCTTGCAAAGTCTGCAACAATCAGAACAAAAGGATGAATGTAAATTTTTTAACAAGGTTCTAAAATGAAAAATGTCTAGAATTACACTTTAACATTCATCCTGTGGAGAAGGATAAAATTTTGAGATTAATCAAAAACTACAAAATTACGAACCTCATAGGCATCAGTTATCTCTTGAAACTTCCTCTTTGCAGAAGGATTATTCTTATTTGCATCAGGATGGTACTTCTTGGCAAGCTGCACAACAAATGGTTTTCTGTTAACTCTTTCTACTTTACATATGTTATAATGAAATCATGCCAAAGATTTATATTGGAAAGATAAAATGAAAAAAATTTATCGACTCACTGCATGATAGGCCTTTTTAATCTCATCTCGAGTTGCACTTTTTGACACTCCAAGAATTTCATAGTAATCTTGTTTAGCAGAGCAACATGACCCTATGAAATGCATTAACTTAACAAATTTGAATTCATAACTACATATATGAAAAACAATGAATATCTCCAGCTGGGAAAAAAACCTGTTGCATGGATATAACGTGCTTTCAGTGGCATTCTAGTGGCAGTAAAATCAATAGGTTTCCCAACACCAAAACTGCAACTGTGCAAAGCTTATTCCAAAAAAGGAGGATAAATTATTAAACGTCATTAAAATATTAAGGTAATAGTCGGCTTTAGAAAAAAACGAGCATTACCTCTTCCACGATTTAACGATTGGAATATAGCGGAAAGTTTCCTAATCCCATCGACTCCATCAATCGCCGATTCTCCAGACCTGGTTGAAACCCAACGCCGTGGACACTGCAAGTCAAAATTTCCCAAAAAAAATTGTCAACAAATTGCAAAAAGAAAAGAATTATTCACTGAATTAAATTGAAATTCAATAAAAAAAGAAGGTTAGTTAGAATCAGGGTTGACGGCACTTACTAGCCTTAGCAAGTTGAATCTTCCCATTTTAGAGCTGAAATGTTAGCTCAATATTAATCCTTGAACAAAATTTTAAGGAAAATGAAAGAAAAAACAGGGAAGAAAGAATTGTTGAAACTATAGACGTCAAAGGGGATTAAAATAAATCAAACGAGTCGTGTTTCGGGTCGATTCGCCGGTTTGCAGGGTAAACGTATACTTCCCAACTGGTGAAGATCAGGGTTTTATGGAAGGTGGGGTTTATGAAGCTTTTAGGCTTGTGAAGTCCATTAAACGACACCGTTTACCCATAGATCCACGTAACTTATTTGGGCATCACCAAGACTGAAACTCAAAGGAATTACTGCAGTTCGGATATATGTATTTATTGAAATATTTCATTCAAGTATTAAAGTATTTTCAAAAAATTAAAATTTAGGGTAAATAACGTGTTTAGTATATAAACTATCAATTTTAGTCTGTTTTAGTATCTAAATTTTCAAAATCATACCAAAAGTTTAATTTTTGTTTCATTTTAGTACCACCATTAAAACTTCAATTTTGTTTCATTTTAGTACTCCGTTCAAAATTTAACGTTAAGTTTTGAAAAGATTTGAAAGTTTATATACTAAACAGATCAAAAATGATAGTTTAGGTACTAAACACGTTAAGTTTTTAACGACGGGTGCTAAAATAAAATAAAAACCAAACGTTAGGTATGATTTTAAAAAAATTAAAAGTTTAAGTATCAAAACGAGCCAAACTTAATGATTTAGGCACTAAATGTGTAGTTTAAAAGTTTAAGTATCAAAACGAGTCAAACGTTAGGTACTTAATGAGATACATGATAAGAAGATATGAGATTCCATGAGAGTATTACATGATATGTGATAAGAAGCCATGAGTTATATGTTTATGTGATATGAATATAAGAATGTGTGATAAATATAATTAATAATGCCCATGTTATGTGTTATGAGAGCTATGGGTATAGTAGGCATGCCAAGAGTCGAGGGTTCTACGTGGTCCTTCGGGACATATATGTAATCCTTTGGAACATATATACAGTACTTCGATACACTTATTTGGTCCATTGGAATATGTATATGGTTCTTAAAGAGTGGTTCTTCGGGATATATGTGATATGTGGTCCTTCAGGACATAGTGGTCCTTCGGGACATAGTAGTCATTCGGGACAAATTCTACGTACCCCTAGTGGGAATTATACGAGCTATGGTGACATCATATGTGCACAACCTCTATGTACTCACATACCTTAAGTTCTCAAAAGTATACATGGGCTAATAAAGAAAGATAAAAATAAGTGCATTGTATATGAGATATATGATTTGAAAGGTGAAAGTATTACTAGAGTTATGTAATGTGATATGCATTGTTAGTTTTAAGGGTATAAGATTAGATGAATGAATGATAAGAATGTTAATAATGATATGTGTGCATATAAGTTGTGGTGTATGAAATATATATGCATTTGTTAAGTAGTTATAGTTTCGATTAATGGTTACATGTCTCACTAAGTTTATGACTTAGCGTGTAAGTGTTTTACACGTATGTGCTGATAAGCAAAAGGATCAAGCTTAGGACCAGCCTCCACTCGAAGATCAGATCATAAATATTTTGTAAAGTATGTCTTTTTATGTAATAGACATGTTGGCATGTAAACAAAGTCGTTAAGTATGTATGCTCTGATCGAGTTTGGTAATGTTTTGAACGTACTTATGTAAAAGGATAACCTTATATTCATGAAAGTTTAAATTTTCTATGGTTTTTATAAAAGTACATGTTTTGAATAGTCAATGTGACACCTCGGATTCGTATCCGGGTCGGGTACTGGTTGGGTGGTACAACTTGTCTTTTATACGGTATATTTGTAAAGTCGGTTAAACATGAGTAACCCGACCTTCTTGGGAAACTCTATGAATGCATCATCTCGTCTTCTTAGCTTTTTGCCTTGCATTTACTATGGAGGACTTCTCATGAAACTTCTTGTTCCATCAAACCCCCCGTTCTTGAGAAACTTATCATTTCTAAAAAGACATTCTCTTCAAGTATCGGCGATATCGCTTGTAACGTGGATCTGAAAGGGGTGGGCATGGCTTCCAAATTCCATTTTTATCCCCAATCCACTCTCTATCAAACCCACGATGTTTCTAAAAAGGCATCCTCTACTTAAGGCATCAAACCCACATATGGCACACCTCCACTCGTTCCCTCAACCTTATTGTGTTTTTTCATTGCACTATTTTTGTTTCGAAGAATTTTCAACACGATTATTACACTGCTTAAATATGTGTCGATACTACCCATGTCTATAAACTCATTTTAGCTTGTTCTGTATGCACAAAACCAAGCATTTGATCCATTTTGAACACGATTGTTATCTTCTTATTCTTGCACAAAACAAGCTTTGGTACCATTTTCAACGCAATTTTTAACCCTCCTACAATATCTCGTATGTCTTTATATTAGCCTCAATTGAAAGATAAATTTCAATACTACACAAAAAATCTTATAAATTACAAAAAAATCGAGATTAAGTACCCGAACATGCCCCCTGAACATGCCTATCAACACTTGTGATTTGCTGAAAAATAAATAACTCACTTTTTGAAAAATGCGAGGTACTTGGAATACTTCTCGCCAATATCTCGTAGACCTCGTATTTTAGGAAACGCAAGGTACTAAATAATCATATTAAATTAGGTAATTTGAAAAGTGCACAATACCTCGCTCCTATAAAATGCAAGATACATTCTCGCGCTAGATAGAAAATGAGGTAGTCTTACATGTGCAGTTTGGGATGCATTATTATCATTATCTGCTAAGGGGGTTAATGTTCAAAAAATAATTAATAGGGTTTTTAATATAATATTGCCATGTCAAATGTCAAAAGGTCATTGCTTATTGAGGTATAAAGCTCTGAAAGCCTTTTTTTCCAGAATTGTTCTTTTGAGACCTTAAATGTGGAAAGCACGCAGGTTATATGTGAAAGATCTTTGACGGAAGTACAACATATTTATAATTAATTTATTATTTTCATTAAATTATTTTTATATTATATTTAATATCTATATTTTTACATCAAATAAATAATTTGATATTATTTTAATTAATTTATAGTTAGAAATACATGATTTATTTACATATAAAAAAGATGCAACTAAGGGATTTGATACAATGTGTATAAAACTAAAATGCACATACACAATATGGAGACAACAAGCGATTAGAATCTTTGAATGTCTCCCACGAAGCCTTAGCCTAGTGATTTACACAAGCAAATGGAGTGTGATTAACAAATGTCAACATCGAATAAAGAAACAATTGAGCATCAATTATGAGCCACGTTTCAAGACCTTGACATGGTTGGGTCAATCAATGTCCAATCCTTGGACCTACACAAAAGAAGCCAGGTTTGATTAAGGCTTTAAATCATTTAGATCAACAAATTAATAAATAATTGAAATGGTTCAACAACTTGCGCTGCCACTCGCTTCACTTGAAGAACAATCCAAATTAAACCAGCTCCAACATGATATGCATTAAAGTGAGTGACTACTGAACTTGCACGTTAATCAAATGCCGGTCTCTATTAATATAAAACAGAAAGCTTTCAATCATTGAACTCTGGACATTTATGTTCACATCCAGCGTGCATCTTAGACACTCTAATCCTTAAGATTAATATAATATTTATAAATATACATGACATGGGGAATGCAACCAAAATGCCATAAGAAAGAAAAAGAAGAAAACATTAATATTGACTGAAATCAACCGTGCATGCATGCAAATCAATCACGATTATTAGTTTTTGGAAACGGCGGCAAACATATACGCGTCATCCCTGCAGTAGTGACAAGAAACTGATCACAAGATTCTGTTGCTTATGAATCTAAGATGCCTGGTTTTGAACCACTTAAACTGGGTTTTTTTTTAATTAATCACTTATATTTAATCTATTGGTTAATTAATCTAGATTAGGTACTATAGAAACAATGGCGACCCTCCTAATTCAATTTGCTCTATTCGTAAATGTCAGGATTTGAATCCTACCTTAAGGACCTAAATCAACGTTAAACTTATACTGGACCGGGACGGACATTGGATTTGGTTCCCAACCAACGAAATTATAATAGAAGAGTGTAGTTAAAATATAAATACTCAATTTATATTTATTATTCATTTTAGGTATCTATATTAAAATGGAGAAATTTACCTTTGAAAGATTAATAATTTCGAGTTCTTTAGAAACAAAAATTATAAATTTATAGATATGCCACATCCATGTTTGAAGTGATTGATAAATGTTTTAATATATATTTTAAAATTGATCTTAAAATAGTAATAAATAAAATTTATTAAGCATTTAATTTGACTAAAAAATATAAATACCTAAAATGGATAAAAGAACACTATATTTTTTAATTAAACACGCTTATTGATCTGGAGCGTATGGGACCAAGTCTTTTAGCATACGTTATTGGTGATAAAGCTTAGTGCTAGCAGAACAGAAATAGAAACAACTAGGCATTAGTAAAATAGGATTCAACGGAAACGAATAATTATAAAGTACAAATTTGAGAAATGCAAAACAAATAATTTGAAATCTTCAACCAGGAGATAGGATGCTGTAAGTTGATGGATTCCAGGTTTCAGTTGAACACAAAACTCAACAATTTGGAAATAAAACATACCCTTGTGCAGTTCCTATTGTTTACTGTCTTCTGCAAATCAAGAATCTATCATCCAACCTTAAACATCAACCAGAACCAACCAAGGGCTTTTCTGCCATCTTGCCTTCATCCATATCCAAGCTCATTACCAACTTCGAGATGTCGAATTCATTAGAGTTCCTTCGTTTCCCCGTTCCCACTACGTGCTTCCTGCTGTTCTCATTCGTTAGTACAACTCCCATGGACCTCGACTTGCTCAGCTCCACCTTCATTCCTGTCGCTTTTCTCACCCATACCACGTCGCCTTCATCCACATCTTTTTGTCCCTTCTTCGTCATCATCATCGCCACCTCCGCGAACGAACCAGTCGATCTCGATCCATATCCCACCGTGCGATCATCAATTGCTTCGCTGCTGTTGTGATCCACACTGGATACTTTTCGGCTATTTCTCTTACTTCCGTACCTCGAACTCCTTGCCGCCTCCTCCCTACCTTCAAACACTTGGTTCTTCACCGACTGTTTATCCACGCGTTTGACGCGCTGCCTTAAGTTACTCCAAACAGGACCCACGTGATTTCTCTTCCTCACCTGCTTCAAACATTCAATCACCTCCGACATCCCGGGGCGTTTATCCGCTGTGGACCTGACGCACCTAGCCGCCAATACCGCCAAACTTCTTATCACCTCCTTATCCCCCGGCTGCCCGATACGGCCGTCGCAAATTGCGGCGAAATCTCCTGCCTTGATCAGAGGGACGGCCCAGTCAACAATCGACGGGGGGCTATAATTCAAGTCAATGGCATATCTCCCGCTAATTATCTCCAATAGCAAAATGCCGTAACTGAACACGTCACTCTTAGTGCTGACGTCACTCGGTGCCAAATAACCCGGGTCGAGATACCCTAACGTCCCCGCCGGTGGCGTGCAATTAACCCGTACATCCTCCACGTGTCCCCTCAATGCAAGCCCGAAATCACCCAATCGCGCGCTCCAGTTTCGGTCAATCAAAACATTCGACGATTTTATATCCCTGTGGATCACCGGCGGATTAGCCGAGTGTAAAGCTTGAACCGCTTTCGCAACCTGCAAAGCGAACCGAACACGCCTGGACCAACCCGGCGTTCTAACGGAGGAGGAGTGCAAAAGATCATATAAAGAACCGTTGGGCATATATTCGAAGACGATTAGTTTATTCCCGCAAAAGGTATCGGAAGTGTAACCGATGAGATTAACGAGATGGGGATGATAAACCCGTGAGAGAATCTCAATCTCGTTGTCCGCTGGACTGTTACAGTTAGCTTTCGTTCTTTTAACGGCGGCGATTAACTTTCCGTTGTCTAGGACAGCTCTGTAGACGGAACCGTGACTGCCTCTGCCGAGGAAGTTGTCGGAAGAGAAGTCGTCGGTGGCTGAAAGGAGATCGGTGTAACGAAACCGTCTGATTTCAACGTTGTTGGTGGTGTTTCCGGGTTCCTTTTTGTTGGATTTTTTTCTACGATAATAATTCCAGTTGTAGGGATCACAAACCGCAATGGCTGACACTGCATTGCAAGAGAGGCGGCCCATCTCCAAACGGAAGAGGAACAAAAAAAAAAGTTAGGTTTTTTCAGGTGGGTACCGGGAGAGAACATGAAAGCGGCGTCGTATGGCGATAAAACAGAACGAAAATGGAAAACGCCATTAATGGAGAAGAAGGAAGGGGATGGGAAGTCTAAAGGCCTAAAGGGTGTTAATATGTGGACCGATTTGCACAGCTTCGTAGACGTGAAAGTTTGAAATTTTTGAAAAATGTAATTTGTTATTGTTTCTGCCCTGCACAGTCAGTGCGTGGAACACTTTGGAGCAATTTATCGGGGAAAGGTTTAAAGTAGGGTCCATATGTATTATTTCTATATATTAAAAAAAGTATAATTTTTACTTTACTTTACTTTTTTAATAATTCATTTTGTCGTTATGTTAAAAAGAAATGCTCAAAGAGTTTGTTTTTGGTTTCAAGGTTATTATGGTCATAAATTTGGATGATAATCCGCATCTTATCCGACAGTATTTAAAGGTTTAAAGAGCTCTTTTCTAGAGTAAATAGTTCATTCAAATGAACATAATTTAGGGTAAATTATATATTTACTACATAAACTATCAATTTTAATTTGTTTTAAAATTTAATTTTTCAGTTTTTTTTAAATCATATCTAAGATTTAGTTTTTATTTAATTTGAGTATCACATTAAAAATTTAACACATTTAATACATAAACTATCAATTTTGATCTGTTTTAATACCTAAACTTTCAAAAAAGAAAATTCAAAACATAACATTAAATTTTGAATGAGTATACTAAAATGAAACAAATATTAAAATTTATGTATGATTTTTAAAAAATAGAAAGTTTAAGTACTAAAATATATCAAAACTAATAATTTAGATACTAAACACGTAGTTTACCTTATACTTTATTAATATAAAAAGTGGTGATGATGATAACATTATTTAAAATAATGATGAAATTAAATTTTAAATATTTATTAATTATTAATTAATTTAACTAAACAAAACAAAATAAATTTCTAAACAAAGTTAATTGTATAAGTTTAAAATTTAAATTATTTTATAATAAACCTATATATTATTGGATTTAATAATCAAGTTAAAGAATAAAATAATTGTGATTATAAAAAAATGTTTAAATTCCAATGAAGCCGAAAAAAGTAACATTTGAAGGCAAGGGGTTGTTTATTGTCTTTGGGAAGGGTTGATTTAATGTCCCTTTGACTGTCGTTATTCTAAAGGCCAATAATAATCATCGACATCTGGTGATTGAAACGACTGCTCATTCTAACGTTTTCTGCTAGCGTACGTGCATACAGCAATTACTTTACGCTTATGGTCACGTAATAAAAAAAATAAGTGTTCAAATTATATCTTAAAAATATTTTAGTATTTAAAATAAGTGTTTAATATTTTTATACTATACTTTTAAATGTTTATTGTTATATTTTTTTAATTTTCTGATTTTTTAAAATAAAAATATTATCATTTAAAATAAAATAAAAAAAACTTAATTTATTTATAAAAAACCCAAAGGTTTCTAAAATTACAAAACAACTTTGGTTGTGTTTTCACTAAAGCTCCGACGACGTCTTCTATGGCAAACGACAACGCTACTAGACGAGAGGATGATTGGATTCTTTTCGGCGTGAGACGACGCTCTCATAAGTGGAAACAATGACAGTCACGGTTTGTCAGAGAAGGGTTCGACGGTGATGGGCAACGAATGATTTTTTATTGTTTTGTGATTGTAGACACTAAATTTTCGCTGTATTTTCTCTATCCCAGCCAACCTCGCTTTTCACGCCACCAACCCCAAACCTTCCGGCGCAAGGAGAGCTCACGAGACCAACAAACCAACAACAACCAACAAGTCATTCAATCCCATTAGAGTTCTAAAATCGCACGGAAATATGTTTTCTTCGCTATAAATGGACAAGAATGGAGGTGGAAAAAAAGGGGGGGAGGATGGGAGCAAGGAATGGTTGTGATGCCACGACAAAACCCACTTAGACAGCTGCAGACAGTTTCCTTACCCGTCGAGGCTGCCGTGGTTGCCACCACTAGCGTCGCTCAGGGCGCTACCATCAGTGCTTTCACGGGTACCCTCACCAACGATGTCTCCTTCTCTCTTTCAACTCCTCGGGCTTCCCTCGACCTTTTATCTCCCAAACCTCATCGACCCCAAAGCGACCACTCCATTCTCTTCTCCCAACGATGAGACCTCAACAACCGTGGTAAGGGTTCGATGAGATCCCCATCGTGATGGCCAGAGGTTTCAGAGGATCCGAATTTGCTACATGCGTGGAGGTAAGGAACTATTGTTTCGAGGGGCTCGTACGCAGAGTGCTCGGGAGAACCGATCACCAACGCTGATGATGGGGATGGCTTGCTTGCCGGATCTGGGACCACCTGTTGTTCATGTCTCGTGCAACTCACACAAGCTAAGGAAAGGAGAAGGCAGAAGCACTCACGCGTAAAATGAATGGGGATGCACAGATTTGGGTTTTGTGGATTTTCCTGGGTAAACTACACCCAAAGCCACTAATGTTTATAGATTTCAACTTTTATAGATTTCAACTTTTATAGATTTTAACTTTCAGTCTATAAACTTTACTCTGAATTCAATCTAACCCCTAATTTATTTTTATGATTTGATCTAATATTATTATTTAATTATTATTTTATTTTCACTAACATTTTTTTCTTTTCACAGGTTTTTTTTCCGTTCATTTTATTACTTTTAAAATATTAATTTTTTTCTTTAATTTATTTAGTATTTATTTATTATTTCTTATCTAATATTTTTTGACTTTTTAGGGGAATTTTTTTTAATCGATCAAAGGTAATTAATTCGAATTGAATTTCAAATTTTAATTTAAATTTTAATTTTTCGCAACTAAGACAGTCGTTAAATTAATTGGTACCGAAAGGGCGGTGCAAGGGTGCTAATCCTTCCTTGACCGTAACCGACTCCCGAGCCCGACACATTTCTGGTAAAATGCAGATCAGGTAAGATGGTGTCCGATCTACCTAAATATCATTTTAAAATGATCGGTGGCGACTCTAACCTAATCAATTCTAGTCGAAGCCCAATTCCAAGGCCCAACCGAAAGACGGTTGCGACAGCTGGAGGGGAGCAAGGAATGGTTGTGATGCCACGACAAAACCCACTTAGACAGTTGCAGACAGTTTCCTTACCCGTCGAGGCTGCCGTGGTTGCCACCACTAGTGCCGCTCAGGGCGCTACCATCAGTGCTTTCACGGGTACCCTCACCAACGATGTCTCCTTCTCTCTTTCAACTCCTTGGGCTTCCCTCGACCTTTTATCTCCCAAACCTCATCGACCCCAAAGCGACCACTCCATTCTCTTCTCCCAACGATGAGACCTCAACAACCGTGGTAAGGGTTCGATGAGATCCCCATCGTGATGGCCAGAGGTTTCAGAGGATCTGAATTTGCTACATGCGTGGAGGTAAGGAACCATTGTTTCGAGGGGCTCGTACGCAGAGTGCTCGGGAGAACCGATCACCAACGCTGATGATGGGGATGGCTTGCTTGCCGGATCTGGGACCACCTGTTGTTCATGTCTCGTGCAACTCACACAAGCTAAGGAAAGGAGAAGGCAGAAGCACTCACGCGTAAAATGAATGGGGATGCACAGATTTGGGTTTTGTGGATTTTCCTGGGTAAACTACACCCAAAGCCACTAATGTTTATAGATTTCAACTTTTATAGATTTCAACTTTTATAGATTTTAACTTTCAGTCTATAAACTTTACTCTGAATTCAATCTAACCCCTAATTTATTTTTATGATTTGATCTAATATTATTATTTAATTATTATTTTATTTTCACTAACATTTTTTTCTTTTCACAGGTTTTTTTTCCGTTCATTTTATTACTTTTAAAATATTAATTTTTTTCTTTAATTTATTTAGTATTTATTTATTATTTCTTATCTAATATTTTTTGACTTTTTAGGGGAATTTTTTTAATCGATCAAAGGTAATTAATTCGAATTGAATTTCAAATTTTAATTTTAATTTTAATTTTTCGCAACTAAGACAGTCGTTAAATTAATTGGTACCGAAAGGACGATGCAAGGGTGCTAATCCTTCCTTGACCGTAACCGACTCCCGAGCCCGACACATTTCTGGTAAAATGCAGATCAGGTAAGATGGTGTCCGATCTACCTAAATATCATTTTAAAATGATCAGTGGCGACTCTAACCCAATCAATTCTAGTCGAAGCCCAATTCCAAGGCCCAACCGAAAGACGGTTGCGACAGCTTGGCGACTCCGCTGGGGACAGGTAAGTGAGTCAGGCCGAAATTAAGTTTCGGTTGTCTTTTTATGCGAAAATGGTAAATTTTAATTTTAATTTATTTATTCGATTCCAATTATTTATCTTTGATTATTTTTCAAATAAATAGTTGTACTGACGTTGTTAATGATTTCAGATTTTTTCAAAATTGTCATCTCTAAGCTCTAAACCCGAGCTCCGAACCCGTTTTAAGTGGGGGTGAAAGCGACGCATTCTGTGAATTTTTTCACCGCATATGCCTAGCAAGTAGCCTTCGGGATTCATATACCTTATGTCTTCGTGTGAATTTATTCACCGTGCAGGCATAAGGGAATGTGTCCTCTCGAGTTTAACTTAGTCCACACAAGCCTGTGATGGGTTTAGGACTAAGGGTCTGGCAAGCCCAAGGGGGCACCGGCAAGGAGAACTCGAGTACCATTTTTTAGAACCTAAACCGGGAGACTATGGAGAATTAGAGCCCACCCCAAAACCTCATTCCAAACCCTAGGCTGCTTTGATTTTATTTCCTGCTTTACTTTCTGTTCAAAGTATGCGAACTAGACAAATATGCGGTTAGGATTTGTTTGAAATTAGCAGGCGGGATAGAAATCATGTTCGGGTAGGAATGCTAAGCATGTTTGGGTAGATATCATGTGGGGTAGGATTTTATTTTTCATGATTATTATTTTTACCTCACTAACTCTTGTCATTTTTTGTTTTCTTTTATTTAATTTTCATCACTTGCATCATTTAAAAGAAGGTGTTGATCCACAAAAAATGTGTTTGTTAAACATGAATAATCTGCATTAATGGACAAAGGTATTGTAATACAAGAGATGAAAATGGAGAGGACAATCTACAAGGCGACTATGTGGTGCCCACAATTGAAGAATATATCGCTCTGGTGCATTATAAAGGACTCGGGATGAACCGGGTCTACATTAAGCAATGAA